AGTCACATATATACTTGTTGCACTCTCCTGAAATAGGCTTCCAATGTTTCTCATTTATCAAGATGATATTTGCTTTACACATGCAGGACTAAAAGTACTTTCCAATTCAAGCACTACTGGCTTTTCTTTAGGTTCTCAAACTTGTACTCTATTTGATTAGCAGCTTACTTTTCTAACAGGATTTATTAACTACCATTCATGAACAGGAATCCCTAACTCTCTGTCCTTTACCAACTGCAATCCCTACTCAACTCACTCCCTCTTTTGACTCTCTAACTGCCTATTTTTAAACTTTGGCTCCGCCCCTTTGGAATGTTTAGCTCTGCTCTTCCCAACTGTCATTTTGGCCTAGCAACCTTTTCAAATCCTGGGCCTATGCTAATCTGCATATGACCAATCGGCTTCCATATGCAAATGAATCCTATCTCTGCTGTTGCTACCCTGTCTGTGCCTATTCTTCCCTATCTGCCATGCGAACATAGATCTATGCACTAAAATTTCATATAGAGTAACAAATTCGCTACAGGTGGTATATAAATATGGCAAATAAATAAATAAATAAATACAACCCGGTTCAAAGCAGATCCTAGGATACAGTGCAGTGTATATCCAGCCCATAATCATAAAATCATAGAATCATAGAGTTGGAAGAGACTTTGTGGGCCATCCAGTCCAACCCCCTACCAAGAAGCGGAAAGATCGCATTCAAAGCACCCCTGACAGATGGGCATCCAGTCTCTGTTTGAAAGCCTAAGAGACATTGGCTGTTCTCTCTTTCATTGATTTGTCCAGTCACTTTTGGAGCCATTGTAACAATGTGTGGTAGTAAATTCTGTAAACTATAGGCAGCCAGGCTTCTTTCTGTACCTGAACAATTAGACTCATTGGCGTAGTAGCAATTTGGTTGTCCCTTTAATGTAATTTTCCCCAGATAATGAAAAAAGAGAGAGAATGAGGGAGGAGGGAGGGAGGGAGATGATTTGCAAAGCCTTGTCATGATATCTGTCTTCTTTGTACTACTCAGCTTGCAAATGCCACCTTACCCAAAGGCACTGTTGCTTTAGTGACATGTTAACTCTGCTCTTCTAGTTGACCGCTCCCGTGTCATCCTCCAAGACAGAGATGGGAATGTTGCTGGATCGGATTATATCAATGCCAACTACATCAAGGTGAGGAAAAGAATCCCCTGCCGGGGTGAGCGGGTGGGCGATAAGTATCACAAACACAAGAAGCCTTGTGTTTGTGATACTTATTACATCTATATCTCCATCTCAATTACAATTTTATACATTGTCTAAAGCAGGGGTCCTTAAACTTTTTAAACAGAGGGCCAGGTCACAGTCCCTCAAACTGTTGGAGGGCCGGATTATAATTTGAAAAAAACCATGAATGAATTCCTATGCACACTGCACATATCTTATTTGTAGTGCAAAAACCACTTAAAAACAATACAATAATTAAAATGAAGAACAATTTTAACAAATATAAATTTATTAGTATTTGAATGGGAAGTTGGTAATGGGTGAGCAGCACCAGCGCCTGGATGAGTTCTGCCAACGACCAACTGTTCTCCCCTGTTTTCAGGAGCGCCTTGATGTGTTCCTTAGTACAGGTGGTCTTTTCATCCCTCCTCCCTGTTGTAAGACACGGACCCACAAGAGCCAGAAAAATAGTACAGNATTCATGTAGGAACCAATGATACTGCAAGGCATACGTTTCAAAAGATCACAAATGATTTTCGAGTTCTAGGAAGAAAGCTAAAAGAATGTAATGTACAGGTGGTCTTTTCATCCCTCCTCCCTGTTGTAAGACACGGACCCACAAGAGCCAAAAAAATAGTACAGGTCAATGACTAGCTTAGAAAATGGTGTCAGGAGGAACGCTTTGGCTTCCTCGACCATGGCCTGCTTTTCCAGGAGGATGGCCTACTGGCAAGGGATGGGGTGCATCTCACACAAGTAGGAAAACACCTTTTTGCTCACAGACTCGCAAACCTCATTAGACGCACTTTAAACTAGGTCCACCGGGGGAGGGAGACAACAGCCTTGCGATCACTACTTTACCCATAATGTCTGGGAATCGCCAGAAGGCTAAACGGAGGGCTGCACAAACACAACAAGGACCAAGTACCAAAAGCACAATAATCCCAATTAAACAGCTCAAGGGAAGATCTCAGGGGTTCACATGTCTTTACACTAATGCACAGAGCATGGGAAAGCGGCGGCGGCAGCAGCAGCGGTAACAGCAACAAGCAGCTGCCCCCAGTTTCCATGGCTTGCTTGCCTACGGGAGCCGCGAGGGGCCTGGCCCCGGAGAACTCGAAGGGAGACCCGGTGGAATCCTTCCTCGCCTTTTCCTCCCCGGCATCGGCGGCGTTGAGGGGAAGCAATGCGGCTCCGCTGGCGAGGCGCGATCGTCCCGCCTCAGTGCCCCTCTCCTCTCCCCACCGCCTAGGGGCGCCCACAAAGCCCCCCCTCCTCCTTTTAAAGTCAAGGATGAGGCTGGCCCAGCCCCCCCGCCGGTGCCCAGCTCTGGTATATTTACTTCCGGCTTCCGGCATGGTGGTCAGCAGCAGAAACGCTGAGCTGCTGAGACCAGAAACCAAATCCAAAGGAATCCTGGGTTCCCCCCTCTTCGACCATCTCTAAACTGAGGGGAGAGAGACCCTGGGCCTCAGGCTTCCGGCAGAAAGACGAGAAGCCCGGGGAGAGAGCCAGGAAGGCGTAAAGAAGGTAAAGAAGGTGGTGAGGAGGAATAAAGGGAAAGCCGTCATTAAACCGCGGTCGGCCTTCTTCGTCTTAAAAAAGTCGCCGTTCTCAACACCAATTGGCGACCTTACCCTGGCTGCTTTTCTCCTCCGGCTGGCACTGCTGGCACCGCTGAGACCGCTGCCGCTGCTGGCACCGCTGAGACCGCCGAGACCACAGCCTAGCCACACCATCGCCAGGCCATAACAGCGCGGAGGCCGCCATCTGGCCGCCAGGTTGGATCCCCGCAGCGAGCGGCGCGGCTTGGATCGCCCTCGCTCCATTGGTGAGGTGCCGCGGCCGGGGAGATCTTTCCGCCCGGGAGTGGAGTGGGGCAGCGAACAACAGCCAGAAACGCCCTCCCTGCCGGGAGTGGCGAGGAACGGCGAGCCGCCATTGCTGTGGAGCCGCGGGGGGCGCCCCCC